CCCCAGGCCTGGGTGTTCTCAGAGCCGCCTCGGGATGGACACGCTGTGGGCTCTGAACAGGTGGGCCGGGGAGCGCCCCCCTCACCCTGCTGCACGGGTCAGGGCCAGACCCGCTCCTTGTCGCCTGCCCTGCCCCTGGCCTCTGAAGTTGGGCCCCGAACCCTGCTGGGCACGTTCCTGTCTGCACCAGCACTGGTGAGGCAGGCAGGCTGGGCCCAGGAGCAGGTCCCCGGGGCAGGAACCAGTGGCAGCGCGGGAGAGGTAAAGGGGCCCTTGGCTGTGCCCAGGACGGACCTGCACACCTCCGCCTGTGAGTCCATCAGGCTTGCTTATGGAGGCCTCAGCAGGTGAGGCTGTAGACATCTAACAAACTCACTACCTACTTCACTCAACCCAGGTCTCCTGCCTGCCAGAGTGCTCTGCCCTGCCAGCCGTGGGGCTCTTGGGGTGGGACCCGGCCAGGCCCAGCACCCGGGGACTGTGGTCTCACTGCAGAAACAGCCTTGCCAGTCTCAGCAGAGGCGGGCTAGTCCTCAGCGACCACCTACAGCGACTCCCCGGGGCTGCCCTCGGATTCACAGCCAAGCTGTGTGCCTTCTGCCCGCTGGGTCCATCAGCCCCGAGGTGGAGGTGGCTCTGATCCTAGAAGGTCTCTGCTCTGGGCCCCAGGGCAGGACACTGAGCTGCCTGTACCAGCCCACCCGAGCCCACAGTCTGAATTGGGAGGACAGACCCCCAGACCTGTGGAGACTCCCCAGACAGGAGAGGTCCTGGCCAAGTACTCTGCGTGCATATCTGTGTCCGCATGTGCACACGCCTGTGTGTCTCTGTGTGCGCACACGTGTGTGGGCACAGCCCCTAGGCCTGAGGATGTGGGGCTGAGGGCCGGAGCCAGGCTGCAGCAGGACCATGTGGCTCACAGCCTGGCCTCGTGGGCAGGGCCGCCCTGTGTGGGGCACCAAGTCGGACAAGTGTTGGGACAGTGCTGGGGTCTGCCGGCACCGGGGCCATGCCTCAGGCCTCTGAGAGCAGCCCAGCACCACGCCCAGCCACTGGCCTGAGCACTGTCTAGCCCTCTGCTGCCCGGCCCACCCCAGCTGTCGCCCAGGAGCTCAGCACATCACCACAAAGCCCCTCACTCTTAAGCACGAACAGCTGGCTGGTGTCCTGGTGTGGAGGGCACAGACTCAGGTGCCAGGACCCGCAGTCTTGGATTAGCTAATACCTCGGAGCCTCCAGGGGGAGACACGCAGCCCACTCCGGGACTGAGGCCACTGTCAGGAAATCGTGGATGTTTCCAGACCTGCCAGGCCACCGAGGCCCGCGTGGGGACCCCACTCCCAGACCTCTGCCTACCTGGGGGACGCAGTGCTGCCCAAGAGCTCCCAGAGCCAGCGTGAGATGGAAGGGCGCCTGCAGCCCTGTGCTCCACGCGAGAGTCTTTCTAAGGCAGGTGGGGACTGCTCTCCAGGGCGTTGAGGGAGCGCGGCCAGGGAGTGCTGCCTGGACAAAGATGAACACGCTCGCCCACAGGTGAGAGGTGCAGGGCGGAGGGCAGCGGAGGCCAGCCGTCCTCGTGCTCCCTCTGCTCAGTGGCTGGTTCTGACGACTTCCAAGGCCAGGCCCGACCCTGGAGCTCAGGGAGGGCCTCCTGGGTGGGCAGTCGCCGCTGACCCCTCTGTTGGCCACCTGAAGATAGGTGGGGTTGCTACTGCCCCCCACCCCCAACGCCAGCGGGGGAGACCCTGCTCCTCTGTGCTCCTTCCCCTTCCACCGGAAGCCGCTCCAGGACAGGCACTTGGGAAAAGCCAGCCAAGGCCGGAGAGGAGGCCAGCGTCCCTGCTCACCACTGCTGGCCGCCCGCCCGCGTGGCCCTGCTGCGGGCCCCGTCCGTGTCACATCAGCTCCAGCAGCTGCTGAGAGAAGCCATGCCACCTGAGGGGCCGTAACCGGCTGTGGCAAGGGCCAGCAGTTGGGGACAGCTGCTCCCATGGCCCTTAGTTAGCTCAGCAGAAAGTGGGGAGACCCTGCCTGGACCCTTCCCCATCTGTCTGCCCTCGTCCAGCCTGGGGTGGTGGAGACTCCGTGTCCCCATAGCTACTGCGTCCTGGACCAAGTGTCATCTCTCCCTGCTGGCCTCCGTGGACACCCTCCTCACTCCTCAGGGCCCCTGCCAGACAAGCCAGGCTGAACCCCCAGCCCTGAAGGGCTGCCGAGCCTATTCCCAGGAGGGCTCCCAGCTAGTGCCCTCGGCACCCCGCTCAGATCCCTGAAGGACCTCAAGTCACTCGCCTCACCATGCACCCCTGCCAGGGGCCTCACCTCTTCCCACCATCACCGACGGCAGCCCCCGTA